CTATTCTTCTAGCAGCTCTTAACTCCTATCATTCTCAAAATAATTTTGTAATGGCATTTGCAAATTAATCTGCATTAACATGTACAATTAACAAAGATCCTGCATTCCACCACAAAGTGGAGTGAGATGGGGGAAGAGGAAAATAATTGTTGCAATTTAGCTTATTTTTTCATATTTTTGGCCTTTTTTCCTTTCTTTTAATCTGACATAGTACCAAAAAGACATTCAACTCAGAAAATAGAAAATTTAGAGATAAAAATAATCAGCCTTGGTAAAGCATTACTATTAAAATAGCATTACTATTGGTTAGGGAAAGTGAAGGACAACATGAACTAGACGGGTGCAGAAGTCCAAAACGATTGATGTAGAGTTCACAGCTTTGTAAAAAGTAGTATGAATGTCTTATATTGGTTTAGGAAATGCTGTACTTTTCTGGTTATTGAGACCTCATTCTTTTCCTCTTCAAAAATAAAAGCAATCAATATAGGAGGTCCTTGATAAACAAAGCCAGAAATGATCCAGGTCTGTTCCATCTATGCATACTACAATGTTACAGCTGCTGCACTATCGGTCAACACACAACAGCAAGAGCTCAGGGGCTGATTTCAGTAAAACAGGCCAAGCCATCATATAGGAAATAAATGGGATATTTGGAAGGGAAGCCCTATGAGCTATAACTTTTTCCTTTCCACTTTTGCAACATACGTGTCATTAAATGAAGTAATACCCAGTACACTAGTGTAGTGCTGTTATTGTGAAAAGTGTGTTCAGCAATTGTGTGTGATCAACTCTGCTCACCCATCAGCGGCTGAAGTTCAGTCATAAGCTTTCTTCCCAAAGTGTGTTGAACAAGAGGTTTTTGTTAAACCATGTCAATGCCGGATTAAACGTGCAGTGCTGTTTTCTTATTTGGGTTGAAACAAAATATTGATTTTATACATATGCATCTATTCAAGAAATGCTTGTGTGGAAGCCCCTACACATGAGTACGGTTCCCATCTGTATTTCTGGCTCTTTGGTTCAAGCGAGGACCTAAATTTTTGTGACTGTTTTTTGTTCTACACAAAAGCACGCTTGCAATAAATTTTTAGAGGTTTTCTATGCCATGAGTTAAATTCTAAAATGTGAAATGTGGTAACAACACAACTCAATGGATTTATATCACTCTGATGTCATGTGATTTTTCCTTCCACAAAGTTTGTCTTACAGTCAACAACTTTGAAATACAGTCAAATATAGATTATAAATTAGTTTTCCTTGTCTCATTTTTCCTGGGGTGAGGAAGAAATTTGGGTCAAAGATATCAAAGCCACAAGGTTATGGGTTGGGCACTGGGTAAAATGAAATGGGAATGCTGCAATATTCATATTAAATTTAAAAATTAAAATAGTGGTTAATGTCAATATGATATCAATCTGAGTAACAAGCTATCAGTAAGTGCCATTTACTCTTTGAGGCTAACTTTCATACTGATCATGCTATTATCTCTCAGGATAAACAATGTTGTGTAAATTGCAAAACAAGAGTAAGAAGTTGTGAAAGAAGGAAATGAAAGGTAGGTAATAAGAGTAAGGGAAATCTAACTGAATGTACTTTACACCGACATCATTTGTTATATCTGCCTTGTAAAACACTGAATTAAATTTAGAAAAAATTGCCAAATAGCAGAATCATCCAAAACCTCAGGCATTGAATGAGGTGCAAATTTTAAGTCAGAACCTGGAATTTCATTAATGTCTAAGTTGGGAACAAAATTTCATTCGTCCCTGGAATAAGTTACATTTGTACCTTTACTACTAAAATAATAAGTCCATAGCTTTAACTTGGAAATAACTCAACAGCTGTGCTAAATGGTGTCTTTTTGAATCCAAAAAGTGGTTGCTTGAAGTGCTACAATGTTGTGATGCATGCCAGCCAGCCAAAAATATTTTTATTTTGGGAAGTAGCTGAAAATATAATTCATAATGAACCTCTAATGATGCCAAAGGCAATAGCAGTCATGTGTCAGATCTGAGAGTGCAATATAGATGTTTCACTAGCAAATGCCAACAAGGCATGATTTTCCCTTCTCCACTTGTTAAATAAGCATCATTTGTGATAATCACAAATAGAATGACCAATTTAAATACACTGAATTGGAAGTGTGGGTTTTGTCCTGTGGAATGCATTTTTGTTACACCATGTGGGGAAATTAATTATCTTTTATCCCAGCTGCAGCATTTCATCATCATCCTAATTCCAGATATTTGGATATAAATCAACCTTGCCTGGCATATTAATTTACCTTTATGATTCTATCACAACTAAATAACCACAATGGATAGTTATAGGAACAATTTTTTTTTTCAAAGTTAAACACAGAAACATGCGTTGTTATAGAAATGAAAAGGAGCATTTTAGGAAATCAAATTATTGAATCTTCAAAAGCAAAAAAATAAAATACCATAATCATGCTATTTCAATAAGATTAGACACAATAAACCTATAGGATAAATCCCTCCAATACTTTAAGCAGTATTTCATGCCTATAATTTGTTGCAGTCTTAAATACTGTACAGCACGTAGACATTGTATGAGAGCCAGCCTAGTATGGTAGCCAAAAATCAGAAGGAGAGAGAGATTACTTTTCCAGACTAACAAATTAAAGTTGGCAGATGACTGCATATATTACATTAGAGGATGTGCCGGCAATGCACTTCTTGATTCTATGTTGGACTAACAGGTGATATGTTATGCAGAAGAAATAAGACTCAAGATTTGACATCTGACAAGGACTAAATATCATAGTATTTCAATTTTCCAGTTACTCCTTGACAAATCTCAAAGTAGCCATCTTGGAAGTAGGAACAATTGAAAAAGAGATTGCTAAACTCACATGCATCAAAAGGTTTTAGGCTATCTCAGAAGGTCTCAACAAACAATGGATTTTTAACACAACTATTAATCGATAAGGTACTTATAATTTGTCTTCCATCATCTGATGCAACCACCGTTTTCTTTCTCTGCTTCCCACAACCATGCTTCCACCTTATCCCAGTCTAGCGGCCACTCCAATGCATCCGATGAAGTCTGTTGTGGCCCACCATATCTTGTCTTTTAATAAAATATATTGATCTGGAAAGATGCTACTTGAATCCTTCTGATACAAACAACAGATGGAAATCCTTTGATTACCATTTCAAGAAAGCATAAAATAGAGCTACAAAGAGTACCTCCCCTGATACTCTGTGAAGTCAGTTTAGAGCTCTTGGCATGAACTGTTTCATGTTGATTCTGGATAGAAAAAAGCACAACACTATCTAAACATGATACATCCAGTAGCAAAACCTATTAGCATATCTAAGGATATATCATAATGAATATGGGGCTGGGAAGCATCTAATCATTATTTAACATTTCAAAATATCTTTAGAAAAATTTGTTTCATTTACGTGTCATTGCAATCTGGTACAGAGATCTTTGAGGATACTGGATTTCACTGAAAGTGACACTTTTAGGAACAAAAAAAAAGTGGATTTCCTCTTTGTTGCAGTCAGGTCAAAGTTTACTTCAAAATTATAATTCAAAATTATTATATCTTATATGCCAATACATGAATTCCTTATGCCTGCAGTTTTTGGTTTAGGAGCTTCATTGCAAAACAGTAATGAAGAGACCTCAATTCTGGCTTAGGTGAAAAGAAGTACAATTATTCTTTGTTCAACCACACAATTTTTAGAACAGGAAGGCTAAGCGCTGTACTCTTTGTGCCTGACACATTAATTTCCTGCTCGCTGGATGAAGCACTACTAACAGGTTACCCAAGGACAATGGCTTTTCAATGAAGGCTCATGAACTGGACACAGTTGCATAAGTTGGGTGGCAACAGGAAAATCCAAAAAGAAATCAATTGTTATCTATGAGGACTTACTGTTTAGAAGATTAGCCTAATATTACACCATGGTCCCCTTATTTTGCTGCATTCCAATTATGGTTTTCAATTCTACTTCCATGAATTAAGGTTTTTTAAAAATAAAGTTAACATGTTCATTTATAAAAGTAGTTCAGGTGCACCAATTTTCTAGGTGTAGAATTCAACTGCTGAAATCTACCAGCTTTCAACAAAAAATGGAAATTTATATATTTGCATTCACGTAGTAAGGTGAACAAGTTAGTAACACTCACAATGAAATAAAATGAGCACATTTTGCTTTATGCTTTGCAGTGTGAAACAGAATTCAATTGCATAAACAAGCCCTTGTCTTAAGATAAATTTGTCTAGGAAAAGGAAGTTCTCCAAATGTTGCTTTTGAAAAATCAAATAATTATGACAAGTAAGCAACTATGATAGTGTGCAGAGACTGTAAGGCCCAGCATGTTTAATCGAATACCTATATTAATATGAGGATGTTAAATTAAAGCTTATTTCCAATTTTAGTTTTTCCCATTTGTTTTCAAAATTAAAACACTAAGATCAAACTTGCCTAAAGTTGTATTGGCATAAGTGATTGATGAGAATACCGCATTTCACTGAACATTCTAATCTTTAAAGAAATACAAATTATGTTTGGCTATATTTTCCATGCCATTTAAATGTAGGCAGATTGTGAAGTGCTCCTTAACTCCAACAAAATTAAGGTAAAATAGCTGTATTAAGAAAGGCTTGTGCCCACTGTTTTAGATTTTTGTTTACAATATAGCAATTGCATTCAGCAGTAAAATGCTCACTTGAATCAGTTCTCAACTAGGAAAATTGGTGAAAATCAATCACAGGTGACCTGAATATAGCCAAAGGTTGGGTTTTTAAAGTCCCCATCCTCACAAGACAACTTTCTAACTATTTGTGAAGCACATGCCAAAATTGTCCCGAGTTCATTGTTAACTGTGGACATTGTGGCAGATAAAGGCAATAGGTAAAAGTTGACCAACTGGGTAGATCAAGAGCTGTTCACTAAAGTTCATGTACACTGATCAGGGGGGTCTTCAGCACACGCAGACAGAATGACAGCAAACTTTGTTATCTTATCTATAAAGTATTTATTTTCTTAAGTTAAACAAACAGTTTTTTTCAAGGATGGTTTCCATCTATAAAATGAACAAAGTACAAGCTCTGTACAGCAGATTTTAAAGAACCAACAGAAATAATTTTCTAAACCACATTTAATTGGTAAAAGGAAATGTACATGTACCACCATTATTTTTGCTTTAAAGTAGCTTAAGATTAGGACAGAGATGACATGGTAACTGGTTATTAAATTTCCTGGTAGTTTATAATAAAAAAGATCGAGGAAAGATTTAACTATTTCCTGCATCTAACTTCAAAACCTACCACTGACTGCTTCTGCGTATCTTCAATTTGCTTGAAAATCTTTTCCAACAAGGTATTTAGTATTTTTGCACTGATAAGGAGGGGTGCAAAAGCAGTGCTTGGTACAATACACATGAAGTTCATAGTTGTGTAAAAAAAAAAAAAGAATGTAGTCACAGTAAATAACTTTGGCACACTGTGTCATGTAAACATAGCTAGCATCACATTACTGCATTTTCTGATCCAGCATCCATGCCTAATGATCACTTTCATCCCTAGAACTTGAATACAACACACAGATAACATTTAAGACTTTTTGGAAATCCTGCTAACACACCTGCTTAAATATTAATCGAGCTAGTAGCTTTTCAGAATTCAAAACCAGCTATTTATGGATAGCTTCTACCTCCACCTCTCAAAAAAACCCTTTACAATTTAGCTTCATCTTCAAAAGTTCTTTCTCCAAAGTCCTGGTTTATAATTAGTTGCCTACTTAATAAGCACTTCAGTGCTCTCCCCCAATGTCCCAGTTTTATAAATGAATGTTACCTTCATCTCATGACTTGGGCAGCCTTAAAAAGAATGAATTTCAAAAAAAAAAAAAGACTGCATTTATTATTTTTTCCTGTCAGGGACATAATTACACGAGAGGTTTTAATCACAGGGAGGCAAATTTAGTTCAGAAAAGAATAATATTCACATTGAGCCCATCAATGGAATCATCATTCTTAATTAAAACAATGTAGTATCTCAATATAGTATCAACAGACACCACAAGCAGGCCATATAAATTCAAAGGTTCACCGGCTTATCTGAAACATTGCAAAACTAGAGTCCTCATCTGAGTGGAAAGATGCCCATTTTTTTTGCAACGAATATTGTGGCCGTCATGGAAAAATGCACTTTACAGAATACTCAAACACAGGTAGAACACTGGAGATGAACACTGTCAAGGAATGATTGCATAATAATTTACCTTTTGTCATTTTGTAATCATTGGGAAGAAGGGCATGTTCTGTGAACGTTTTCATTTCTCTGTTTAAAATTTTACATAAACTGTGTTTTTTTTAAAAAAAAAAAAAAACCACTTGATGAGGACAATACATGCAGAGATGGCATTGCTCCAATACAGAAATAGCAGAATGGGGCCACCACTTCCAAAGTTTTACTTCTGCACCAATGTTGAGACATAGTGACAAGACATAAAGAAAAACCTCAAACCATGATACTCAAGAGCAGATGCCTCACAGCTGCAACGTTGGTCATTTGTAATAGGCTTGCTTGTGATTTCACAAGAAGGCTATTTGTGGGTCTTGTGCTATCTGTCATTCCGACAACTTTCCAAAAGGAGTAAGAAACGGTAAAGAGGAGAAACCAAGAACCGAAGCCCCAAAGCTGTGTGTGTGTTTTTTTTTAAACCTTGTTTTCAACACAATGGAGTCTAAAGTTGCTCAGTACAAATACACAAGAGTTATCCAGAGCACACGGCATGGAATTCCTTGAACAGAAGGTGACGCTTATGCTGGTGAGATGAAGCGGGCAAGCCTCTTTCTGCCATTCCATCAACCTCTGCAACGGAGGTCTGACCACTTTCAGGAGAACGAAGTGCAAAAAAAAAAAAAAAAAAGTAAAAAAAGGCACACTTTACAAAGCAGAAGCATCCAGTGTTTGCGTGTGAACACAAGGCAGCGGCACAAACTCGCATCTTCACAAAAATGTTGTTCTTCCGCAACTGTCCAATCTATGTTCCAGTCAAGTGTTAAAACGCTTTGTTGATAAATTACAGGATGATGAAAAATTGATAGAAAGTTGTAAATTTTGACAATATATATTTTATATATATATTTATATATTTATATTTATATATAGCGTTTATATCTAGAGTCTCATAGAAAAAAAATCCAGGGTCCGATATACCACGCACACATGGCAAAACCTTCTGAATGATGCTTTTGACTGCTGGACTACCACAAACACCTATTTTTTATGTAAAGGGAGACTGCTCGTGAGGTTCTTCCAGCCACTTCCCTCCCAAGTATGCCCTTCCCTTCCCTGTGTTGAAAGCAGGTTTCTATCATGTACCTGTGGTTTCTAAGGATGTTAATCGTCTGCTCAGAAAATACCGGGTTGAAGGTGGAGAGGAGCCAACAGTCCTTGATGGAAGCGGGGTGGGGATGATGAGCACTGCTTCAGCTACGTTTGATTAGATGGTGGCAGGATCCCCAGTTCCTTTGATTTCCTTATGTTCACTTTTACTTTTCAGACAAAGATGGAATACTGAGGTATATAAAGTATCAGTAATGCAATCAAAATGTTGCCCAAGGTTTAGGAAACGAGACAGTTACTTCTGTCCGAGCGTTTCTACTGCTGTAGATTCAGTGTGAACTTCCACTGCTGTGACAGCGAAGGACTGCACACTTCAACAGTCAGGCCACCGTTTTTGGCATTTCGGCTGTCTAAACACAAGTTGTTGCCCACGTACCGCAGTTTGGTATTGCTTTCTATTTGTTCCCATTTCTAGGAGGGGGAAAAAAAGTTACGCAGATTAGATAAATACACATTTTTAAAAAATAACAAATGAGGTTGCCATAAGGTATTTATTTATGGGGCATACAGGTAGTCCTTGACTTACAACAGTGCATTTAGTGACCATTTGAAGTTACAATGGCACTGAAAAAAGTGACTTATGACCATTTTTCACACTTATGACCATTGCAACATCCCCGTGATCACAGGAATCAAAATTCAGATGTTGGGCAACTGGTTCATATTTATGACGGTTGCAGTGCCTGCGCATCATGCAATCAAGCTTTTGTAAACCTTCTGACAAGCAAAGTCAATAATAGGAAACTCAGATTCACTTAGCAACCATGTTACTGATCTAACAATTGCAGTGATTCACTTAAGAATTGTGGCAGGAAAGGTAGTCAAACGAGGCAAAATTCACTTAGCAAATGTCTCACTTAACAACAGAAATTTTGGGCTCAATTTTGGTCATAAGTCGAGGACAACCTGCATTAGATGGGCTCCAAACCATCCAGCCTGCATTCAAAGGAAAACAAATTTCAAGCTCTCGGACTTTAAAATGTCTTCATACGTAACATAGTTTTATGTCATCTGCTCTGCTCTGCTTTTTTTTTTTTTTTTTTGCAAGCACACTGAATTTTTCTGTTCCATAGTCCTTCCTATACTTACGTAAGGACAAGTTTTGTAAAAACTATGCAGTTTGATGTTGTCTTCTTAGAATCTATACAGCATTATTTCTGAAAGAGCCAGAATTGGCTCAAAGGCCAGCAACAGAACATAAATGGGCACTAGACATTTATGACATTGACAATGTTAGAGTGTTGATCGACCTCTTCTCTGGGACTGCAATCTTAAATGACACAGCAAGAAAGCGTTAAGAAAACGAACCTAGACAGTTCTGTCCAGGACTGTCTCCCAATCCTGAGCAGTTTTTACAATTTACTAATCTGGATGAGAGCTATTGTTGTAGCACTGCTAAGCTTTAAACTATCCTTTGAAGTGGGAGGAAAACAATCAGAAGGCTAAGATAAAATTAAAAGCTCAAAAATAAAAGGGAATTGAGGCAGCAAGGAAAGCTCACCCACAGAGGGGGGTATAATGGAAGGCATATAGAGTACAGGTAGACTAATGAATAGAGAAATTTTAATTACAGATAAGCCATCTTTAAAATATCTTTTAAATTTAATATAGAGATTCTAGTTCTTCGACATGAGCTAGAAAAGACCCAAACCTAAATATTTCAAAAAGTAAAAAGCACCACAGATTGCTGCAGTCTTTTTTAAAAAAGAAAAAGAAGAAAGCAACAAGTAAAAATTATTTGGCAAAAAAACCAAATACAATTAATTGTATATTGCCTGATAGTAGAAAAAAAGTCTTTAAAAAACCAAGAGTTCATAGTTCTGATTTTTCCAGCATTTTTTGCTTCAAGATGGCAATAGGTGGTGTGGTACTAGTCAGAAAACCTGGCACTTCACCCTCTGCAGTTTGCTTTATAAACACTATAATTAGACAGTGCTTATTCATATATGCAAACTATGCATACAAGCAGTGGGAAAAGTCTGAAGAAAAAATTACCCTAGATAATTAGAAGTAACCAATTTAACAGTCATGTCATGTGGCATAACCAGGAGAAGAGCAGATATATAAATACAAAATGGCAGTCGGCTGCTTGATTTCTATGAACAATCTTCACCATCAAATAGATGGGAATAGAAGTAGAGAAGTGTCATTTTGGGGAATCTGAAGGTCACAGTCCTTTCAGAGACATAAAGAACGCGGCCAAGACAAAAACCTAAATTTATTTCCATTTCATATTAGTTCAATTTCAATTAAAAAGGTCAGCTCAAATTAATGAAAAACACAATTCAGTGATTGGACTTTTACATTTAATAAACGTGCTCTTTGGTCTCACTGATAATTGCAATTTTTCAACATTTCTTCAAGCTACACCAAGGGCTGCATCTGTGGCTTCTAGGAGCTGTAGGCAGCCTTTGAGACTCAGGTTGTAGATCCAGACTATAATGGGATTGCATTTATAACAGCACGTCAGAAATCCCACAGCGGACAAATCCCAAGAGTTCAGAGTTCATAAGGAGGGACCAGGCTAGAGGGCCATATCTCATCTTGGAGAACATTCAAAACTGTGGCTGAACTCCAGGTACTGACCTGTCTACTATCATTCTCTCTGCAGCCCTGAAGTTTGATGAGTGATCCAGCAGCTCGATCCACCACCGTAAGGCACAAATCCATATGCTTCACTGACTTGTCCTTTGTTAAGGCCCATTCCTGAAACATAAAGCAATGACACAGAATTACCTCCCATGCACATATCCTGCCTGAAATCATTCCATCTCTTTTAATCCTACATTTTAATTACCCAATTTTTATTTTGTGGGGGAAACTTATTTAATAATGAAATGTTGAAGAAGTAAAAGGGAAAGTTAGAAATCAAATACTTGACTACTTTTTCAGAGCAGCTTTTTTTCTTAACATTTCTAAATATGAAATAACACAGTGGGGGTTCTAGCATTAAGTTAAAGGACATTAAGAAATAAGTTCAAGGACAGAAATCTTTTATATTACGTATTACAAAATAAGGCATTCTAAAATTCTCTAGCAATGTTATACTTAGCTTTGATTCTACAATTCAAACAACCTTATGTTTATTAACACTTCAGAAAATATATTTTTAAAGTTTTAACTTATTTAAGCCATCATAGTGTTAACAATTTCTGATTTATATTGCAGTTAATATCTGTGTTTCACATTATTCGCATCTCATAATCAGAGGTGGTATTCAGCAGGTTCTGACCAGTTCTGGAAAACTGGTAGCGGAAATTTTGAGTAGTTCAGAGAACTGGAAAATCCCACCTCCGACTGGAGATTTTACAGTATCCTTTCCCTGCCACGGCCACCAAGCCACGCCCACAGAACCAGTAGTAAAAAAATTTGAATCCCACCACTGCTCATAATGCAATAAAATAATTACTGGGGAAGAGGGAGTAAATGTCTGACTTCATCTGACACTGCTGGTAACTTGCATTCCTTTTTTTTCCTTTGGGGAAAAAAAGTCAAATAACACTTTTGGGGGGACGCTCAATATTAGATCAGAATATGTTTACCTTTATTTACTATATTCACTAGATCTGTAGCAATCTTTAAGCTTAACTAGAAATAATTTGTCATATACCTCCATCTGCTGGTGCTATGGCACAACAGCACCCAGTTATCATACTTGCCAGATAAGACAAGCCTATATTGCCTCATCTCGCTACAGAAAAAAGAAACCCAGACAGAAATCTTGTGTCATGCCCAATTTCTCCATCTATCCCAAGTCAATTTAAATTTGCCACTCCAAAAAACAAACTGGAGTCGATCCTTCTACCCTTAAATGAACATCTGTGAATGTGATCTACTTCTATATCTGTGTTTCTCTCTCTCTCTCTCTCTCTCTCTCTCTCTCTCACACACACACACACACACACACGCACGCCACACTCTAAAAGAAGGGAGAAAAATAAATCAATGCATCTTAATTGAATAATCAGCTACTGGTTAACATTAATCTCCCATAAAATACCCTATGTATAAAATTAATTGATTCCCATTTACACACACCGATGACCCAATTTCACACAGAAGAATGAAGGAAAATATTTAGCAGCACCTTCCTCCTTCCCTCTTTCCAGCCAAAATAACAGGAGGAAGGAAGGAAGAAGAGAGAATAGAAGAGGGAAAAAGAAAATGGAGATGTGAGAAGGGTAGGAATAGTAAATAGTAAGGGAGGGAAATAAGCAAGAAAGAAGTGCTCTCTTGATCTCAGAGGCCAGGCAGGCAGCAGGGATGAGCCTCCAACTTAAGAAAAAGGCATCCAAGCTGCAGCTATTTGCTCTTCAGCTTCTTCTCTTCTTCTCAGAAAACGCAAGGAGCTGTACTTCCCCTTCATAAGAATTCATAAAGGGAAAAGAGGAGGGGGGGTCTTCCTCCAGAGTAGGTCACTTACCTATCTTTCATTCAGAAAAGAAATAAATCCACGCAACTGAGAAGGGCAGGTCAACTAAAATACTTTTTCCTATTTCATTTCTCTTCTGTGTTTCTTCTTCTTTTAGTTTTAACCTCTATTTTTTTCATACCTCTTATATTAAACCTTTTCTAAAGTTTATACTACTAAAGTGAGTGTGTGTGTGTGTGCGTGTGTACATATGTGTATGTATATGTACAATATATATACAATACACACACACACACTCAATGGTGCTGAATGGAGGGATTTACAACTTGTGCCCGAAGTTACAGGTATTGAGATGTCCACGGTCCTACGATCGAAGTTCAGGTTGGGATGTTACAGAGAATTAGGACTCAAGTTGATTTTTTTTACTCCCATTTAAGAACCAGGTGATGATTTTTTGAAGTACTATTATAATACCTGATTTCCCCCAGCATTATGACATTCATAAACACCGACAACGCCATCTGCAAAATGGCCTAATGTGTCAAGGCAATTGGTTCCTTGCTGCAAAGCCCCAAAAGCTATGTCCTGGTGATCAGGTACCCTGAAGAGAGGAAAAAAGAGAGGAACTTCTTAATTCTAACCAAAATGCAACTTTAAATACTTATTCTACTTGGTATCAATGTTAGATATGCATCTACGCAATTCAATACATTTTTCCCGAGTTTCAGTTTTACTCAGTTTCTCTCACCAAGTCCCCAAACTTCATTCTAAGCTCTAGAAGAGCTGGAGATCTTGAGAGCAATGATATAGAGTAGTCTGCAATTACAACAACAGTTTCCCAATCAGCAGGTCCTCAAACTTCAATGGATTTAAAATCACAGTTGATAAAGAAATGATTTGTTTATTTATTTATTAAAAAAATTTATAGCTCACGTGGCTGGTGGCTTACGACAACTTCGGGCGGCTTACAAGGTTATTTTAGCATACAATTAATTCCGCCACAATGTACTTGCTGATTAAGCTATAAGAAAATTATATTGTACTGATTGGGTTACTAACTGCACATGATCATCAATGCTATTTGTTTTCTCAACGGTGTGGACCCAATCTTATTCCCCCCCTGAAAATTACTTCCTCTTCAGGAATTCCCACATTTAGGAGATAGGGAAATGATGAGGTTAGATTTAAGGTTATGCAAACACTTCTATCATCTGCTTTGGCTCTTCATATCACTACTGTACAATCAAGATTATCTGGTTCTATCATCAAGGTTTCCAATGAGTGAACAACTCTCGGAGATAAAAAGGGATGACTAACAATGAAGAAATGCTTCCTTTCTTCAAGCCCCAAATCTGACTATGGCAACCGACTGATTTGGCTGCTGAAGAACAACCCTCTATGACACATGGGCAAAGGGCAGTCAGAGCTTGTCTTAGGCTGATATCCGCCACCTAACCATGCTGCAAGTTATGAAGACATTAGATCAGACAGAAAAGAGATTAGAAGTGTGAGAATCAAGGATATAGCTTATTGATCTATTAGATTCAGGTAAGTTCTATGGACGATAGCAGGCCCCAGTGGAAAGAGATATGAACCAAAGTTTTCAGCTAGGATGAAAATATACCAAAACTATTTGTAATCCTGCTGAGCCGTTGCTAACTGTGAAAACATATTTTTGCAAACTATGCACTAAATCAGACTATATTTATCAGTCTGGCATCAGTTAAAGTAATTTTATACAGGAATAAAAACTTACCTCAATTCAGGATATACATTTTCAAGGTACCACTTGAATGGTTTGCAGTTAAGTCTCTTTCTCAACTCCATTCGGCTTTGAATACTATTGAGAGAAAAAGCTTTTCATTGCATCTAAAAACTACCCCAATCAAAAAGCTATTTTTATGGACAACCTATTATTTAAATAAGAAGCTGGCAGCTAAGTATTCTCTGCAACTTTCGGACCTCAATTCCCATCATTCCAGCTGCCCTGGCCATTAGCAAGCAGAAGAAGTCCAAAACTGGGCAGAGTACCATCTTGCCTTCTTCTGATTTAAGCAAAGATTAAAGATAAGGTTGCGTGCTTATTTTAATACCATTAATTTCCACCCTGCTGCTCCCAGAAAATAGGCTCAAATAGCTGAAAGAAATAATTGGACTTACTTGCCATAAGGTACATTTCTGGCAGAAGGCACTGCTGCATAATAGAAATTTTTGTATTCATCCATCCAGACTTCTGCTGCTCTGCGTGTATTTCTGGAAATAATTTAAGGCACAGTATTAATTTAAGGCACATATATATTTCCTGGTATTTGTTTACTCCTGTAAACAGCGAAAAGCCTTCCACTTTAAGAACACCACTATGCAGAATAAGTCATCTTTCAAAAAGCACAACAATTTGTTGGCTTTGTATTCTTTAGCTCTTTTTTTCAGGATTTGTGTTTGTGGAAGGAAAATGGTATGAAGAATCACTGTATTTTGGCAATGAGTCCCTACACTTAAGACTACAGAGTACATCTAGCACTGTTCCATACTCCAGAACCCTGGCTAAATAGGAGTCATACTCCATTTATCTTGTACAGACGCACAGTCTCATTTTTAAGACATAGTTACCTTATGCCTTCAGGACATCTGTGCTCTCAGGACAACTCACACGGAAAAAAAACAGATTATGTAATCTTTTCTAGACGCTTCATCATGTCTCTCCAAAACTATTGAAAGAAGTGGGACTAGAAGGGCTGCAGTATTCCTCTTTCCCTGATATGATTCTACCTTTTAAAGTATATCAAGCACATTTCTGGCTATTCAGAAGAGTTCTGAATTCTTCTGCTCAATCTCCGATTCCCTTTGTTCATACCTACTACTTAGCAAGCCCCAAATCCTAAGATTTCTCTCAATAGGATCCTTTCCAGATTTGTCAAAGTTAGCTCCCAGATTTCACTAGCCAAATGCATGTTATTAAGCAATTTGGTAGAGAGGCTAATGTTTAATAATTAAGGTACATCCATACAAAGTTTGATTATATGTTGGAGATACATTGATTCTTTCTCTAAAAAAAAAAAATTGGAAGAAACTGCTGGATCACCAAGGAATATATTAATATATTAACACATGAATGACATACAATAAATGTATCTGGAAACAGTTTTCAAACTTGAAAAAATACTATATACTATATGTATATATACATACATATGTAATGATCTAGACTATAGCAAATCCTTTTTGTAATTATTCATATTATATAATATATACTATATATATGAATAATTATAACAAAGGATTTGCCATAGTCTAGGCCTGTGATGGCGAACCTACGCAGAGCCATTTGTGCTGGCACACAAGCAGCAGGCAAACTTACCTTACTGAGCATGCGCACGCCTCACAGCTGATTTTTTTTTTCTGGTTGGTTTGAGGCCTTTTTCGGCCTCCCAGAGGCTTGGAAAAAGCCTCTGCAATTCTCAAACTGAATTATAGGCCCGTTTCGTCACTTCCTGCAATACCAGAAGTGATGAAAGGGGCCTATAATTCAGCCTGAGAAGCCTTGCCGAAAAAGGCCTCAAACAGGTAAGGGGGTGAGGGATTGCTAGCACATGCGCAGGGGGCATGGGGAGGGGCACGTGCATTGCATTCTGGGTGCTGGCACACAAGTGTGGGCACACTGGCAATTTTTGGCACAGGAGCCCAAAAAGGTTAGCCATCACTGGTCTACGCCATTACATTGTTCTGACAGTTTGTATCCAATGTTAACAATAATGTTGAAAGTTTTCAAATTAACTATCAAAAACCACATGTAAGCTTTTGCTGCGCAATAAGCATTTTTATAATGTAGATAAATAATTTATAATGTAGATAAATAAGTAAAAAAATTTTTTTACATTTCTGATGATGGGTATTGTTTTGGTTATGGTCTTGGTTTTGTTGTTTGGTGAAAGATGCCACCTCTTGATTATATTTGCTAACAACCATTGATGTGACATTCTTCCTAGCTGCTGTGCATGTTAAGTTTTGTATCTATGATGGAAATTTGTTTTTAATTTGTTTTAAGATTGTTTGTTACCTAGAGTCACTTGCTGAGATGGATGGCCATTTGGACTGAATGAGGGAATCAATCAATCAATGTTACTGAGACTTAAATTTACCTTGCAAAAACAGTCCCACTTCCTCCTGGAAAGGTATAAGGATGTTGCTTGCGGAAGACATGACCAACTCGGCTACATGGGATGATTTCAAGACTCCCACCGCATTGCCACACACGAAATGAAATCTCTGCATTCAGAAAATAACCAATACACAGAGTAGTTTTTCCCCACATCTTCCTACCGTGTTTCTCCAACAATACGGCCTCCACCAATAGGAAGGCCCAGCATGATTTCTAGGCATGAGGTGAAATTAAGCCCCACCCCCCAAATTTAGGCCTAATTAAACCATGCGTTTCCCCGCCATTTCTCACATCGTTTGTTAGAACTCCACGAGGTGAAGAGAAATGGGGGGGAAAGGTGGGGGGGTGGGGTGGGGAGAAAACTTGCCTTTAGGAGTGCCCTGCAGGTAGCCTAGGCTAGAATACTCCGATAGCCGATAGAAGCTCCCTGAAGGCAGAGTCCCCAGCCGCTTCAGGGCATGGCTGCCTGTGTCCCCTCGCCTTTAGGCAGTCTCTTTTGGGCGATGGAAGCTCCCCAAGTGCAGTCACCAGCCACTTCGAACGGCCGGTAGAAGCGGCCTCGGGAGGAGCGCACACACACACACACTCCCCTCACCCCGAGGCCACTTCTACCAGCTGATAGAAGTGGCTGGTGACTGCACTTGGGGAGCTTCTATCGCCCAAAGGAGACTGCCTAAAGGCAAGGGGACATGGGCAGCCACGCCTCGGCCTGAAGCAGCTGGGTACTCTGCCTTCAAGGGAGCTTTCGTCTGCCGATAGAAGCGGCCTCGTGGCAAGGGGAGTGTGTGTGTGCGCTCACCCCGAGGCTGCTTCTACCGTCCGATCAAAGTGGCTGGTGACTGCACTTGGGGAGCTTCCATCGCCCAAAAGAGACTGCCTAAAGGCGAGGGGACACAGATAGCCACGGCACGCCCTGAAGTGGCTGGGGATTCTGCCTTCAAGGGAGCTTTCATCTGCTGATAGAAGCGGCCTCCCGGTGAGGGGAGTGTGTGTGTGCGCTCTCACCGAGGCTGCTTCTACTGGCTGATCGAAGTGGCTGGTGACTGCATTTGGGGAGCTTCCATCGCCCAAAAGAGACTGCTTAAAGGCGAGGGGACATGGACAGCCACGCCTCGCCCTGAAGCGGCTGGGGACTCTGCCTTCAAGGGAGCTTTTGTCTGCCAAAAGAATCAGCCTCGCGGTGAGGTACGTGCGTATGGGCCGCTCCAGGTGGGGGAGGAAATTAAGTCACCCCCGAAAAGACGGCCTAGCTGTTTTTTCAGGGGTCAAAAAAAAATAAGGCCCGGCCTTATTTTGTGAGAAACACGGTATGCACCCTTCTGTTCCAGCTAACACGAATACATTTTTTTTTTTAAAAAAAAGGGAAAAAATCCCCTGCTTTTAATTGAAAGAATGGGACAGGGAATCAAGTTCACCTTTTAATTGAAAAATGAAACACATTTAAATTAAAAATTTAAGAATACTATGAAGTTATTATATTTCTCTATCTGGGCCACTTTTTGTATTTGCAGTTCAAAATCCAGTGTTTAGCAGATAACCACAATATGGACATCATAAAATTACTTGGATTTTATATGAACACCTAAGTGCCAGAATGAGAAAATGAAGTTGAGATTTATGATTAAGCATAAAATCACAAGTGCTCTTAAAGTATCAGTTTCTAGACTAATAAAACAAAATTAGTTTAATATGTTTAAAAAAAATCCCCCAATGATGAGTATTCCTATTACATGCCCTACTTTTAAATATTTAAAATGCATGGAAAATCTTTATAACCTTGTTAAATAAAACTCTTTGACAAGTATTTTAATTAACACAGAATTTATGACTCTTAAAAAGATAAAGATCCTGTGTCTGCTTTCTTCAAACATTACCCTGACTTTCTACTTCATACTTTTTTAATAGAAAAGTCTAATTTTATAATGGAGCCCTGTTGTGGCTGAATATTTGCCAATAACTTAGTTTAAAATATTAACTGCTGCTTTAATCCATTCCAGGCAGAGATCTAAAGACATGAACTGACAAAAATGAGGCTAAGATTTGCTAGCCTTCAAAAACAATGCTGTAAGTAAAAAAATGCATACCTAGGTTTTCTCCACCCCATACATCCATCATCATATCATACTTCCCCAACTCTTCAAAATAAGGTTTGTCCATCACAAAAAGTCCACCAGCTATCATTGGTGTTCTAAAAAGAAGGAAGAGGTAAAGTGCAGACAAGATACATCATATAAAAAAACACATTATATCTTAAGGTTCCAAATGGGTATTTTCTGTCCATATTTAAAAACTATTCAATTCCTTTTTAGCCATCTATACTTATTGCTCCAATGGAAAACTCTATCATTCATTCATGAACTCAAGGTTTATATATGGTCTTAATTCCTTAGATGTATTTTCGATGTATAAGATGTATAATTGGTTATAGGAAATTTCTGAAATGCTATATAGAATAATACACAATAATATCAAGTCATAATTATTCTGTACAATGTAAGTTGGTTCTCAAATAATGTTATCTCTGAATTATTTTACTAGCATTTTCAATAATAGATTCTCCCAATGATTACCATCCAACTTAAATAGACATTCTGCTTCCTTGTAACAGTCATGCTTTCAAATTTATTTTTCACAGAATTTTATAGAATTATAAAATTCGCTCCCAGTGAGAACAATGCACAACAGAATTTTGTAGCAGTACCAATCTGGATACTCGCATGGGAAGAGAATGAATCCTTTAACAATACTGGAGAAATTAAACTTCCGCCTATCGAAGTTTATTAGTAATATAAATTAATATAAAAGTATGAACACAAGATAAATATATATCTCTTTATCTCTTGTTGCACTTTTTTGGTTCCAGCACACTAATATGAGATCAAGTAACTCTCTATCTGCTGATCTGGCCACCATGTTAATTAGAGAGCCTTGCATGATTTGTTCTACTTTCCAGGCGTGGTTGCACAACAAGAAAGTAAGCCAATACATCAAGGCTCACACAAAATAGATTTCAATTCCACACATGCTGTTAAACATTATAATTTGCTTTTTGATAATGTATACAACTGCATGTATATCTTGTGCAGATAAGTATTTCACTATGTATTATTTCCAGTAATAGTGTCATATAATAATGAATGTTAAGGAGTGTCAATGCAATACAGCTATTGTAAGGTATGAAAATGGCAGAAACTAGTGATGTCTGTCTTCAAGTATGCAGTATTTTGAAACATCACTTGCATTTGGCAATACTGGGTTGTATGTTCTATGAGGTATCAATTTAATTCAACAGCAGCCTGCCAAGTCTAACTCTGGAGGCGGTAACTCAAAGCTGCACTTACTAAAAACAACAATATTGTTTTGAGAGGGGAAGGGTGTGTTGACAGGAACATACTTTATGGGAGCAACTGGATTTCCTTGCCGTGCTCTTCTTTGCTCAGGTGTCATGTAATCCCACTTGAATACCAGATTCCAATCAAAGCCTAAGAGATTGCAGGAAGAAACAGAAGGAGAAAAAGAACAAAGTCACAATGTACATGCCTGGATATTAATACATGTCCCCCTTAACTTTTGCCTAGATATATAGTCATTGAGTTATGGATTGTAGATATGAACGTGTTCAGATATGGTTTAACTCCAGGCTCAATTGCCCCGAATTTGTTTTACTGTTATGACACTTTCAGAAACAGATATTATAGAAGTTAAAATGACAAGACAAATTTGAATGCTTTTTAAATAGAAAAGTGATATTTATCAATTTAAACATTAAAGTAAATAATGTCCACCTTATTAAAAAAGAAAACTTTTATTTCCTAATTCCCATCCTCGTTTACGAGATTACCACAAAAAATATTCTTTACAATTTCAACTTAATCTGGATTGCAAGAAACCCTGCCAGATTCCCCAGTTTTGAAATGTCAGTAGGCAATCTGAATATTTATCCCGCTTGATTTTTGTGTATTTTGCTATACTTTAAAACTGTTTTGACTTATTTTGTGCTTGGAGGAAATCACAAAAGAAATCTGTGCGTAAGCAGCAGGTATCAGCTGATCTGATCAAGAGATGGCACTGAAGTCAGAAGCTCAGATCTGTGTTTCTTGTCTTCCCTGCCAATTCTTCTACCTCCAGTTGCTATTTCCAAAACTGTTATTTTAGCTTCTCCACTCCCACAGCAGATACCATCTGACTACGTTTGAAGGAATGGCAATCCACTGACACCCCCTCAAGCTTCATGGGAACCATCTGTTGCTTAAACTCCTCTTCTCCAAGGACTGTCTTGGCAGAAACCACTTTGCAGCTATCACACAACATCAGAGTATAACAATGAGGGGAGTGGGAATGCCTGGGATGGACAGCCTCCCGCTAGCTATCCTCCTGCTCATATTGCTACTACTGTACTACTCAGCCTGTTATACAATAGCTTTCCCCTCTGATAACTTATCAGAATGTAAGCTGCTGAGTCCTTCCATAAAAGGTAGATTAAAACGATCTTCCATGTTAATCATGCTAAGCATCTTGCAGCATGCAATTTCCCAAAGATGTCACAAGATGCTACGTTTGTGTACAATTTTTCAAAAGCTGTTTAGTTGCATTCTTAGCATTTTAAGCACATATGACTTTCAGGCAACCAGCAGTACTTTTCCATGCTAATAGAACACCGTACTTTAAAAAAAAAGATCCAATTTCCACCATTGGAAATTATAGCCGTGTCATTTGAAAAATATGTTTCATTTTAATACTACGCTGTGGTGAGTAATAGAGCAACATGCTGAGCTTACCAAATCTTCATTTACAGCAGAAAGATTATATTTCACTGTATTTCACTATATAAAATGCTTCACTATATAATAAAATTCCGTTAATATAAAAATAAAGTTAAAAGCAATCATGAATGCCAAATCTCAACATGTACATACACTGCAGTAAACATTAGGGGGCTCTTTTGGAACATGAATCAGTAATAGAGTGCAGGAAAATCTGTAGTGCCAGTGGTATTAAAGAAATACTACTGACACCAATGCATAACATGAATATATCAGCTCGGTTTGATCAGAGGATGATAGCAGACCGGGCACTGAGATAACCTGTATGGTTACAGGACCATGCAGATGTGGCCTTTTGATTTTTTTTTCATACTGAAATCAAATCATTGCCACCCATACTCCAATGTCTCCTTTTGCAACCCTTTTCACAATTATATGTGATTCCAAATTGCATAATTACTTACAGCGTGTAATTATGCTGAGAATCGCAATATATGAGCAGCACTTTTATACTCAAGAGACTCTATCTATTATAGCACACCAAAATAGACTGCCATGATCATCAAATATCCAGAGCAACAAACCCTCACAATAGATGCCATACAGTATTTCAACGTGTAACAGAATATCCAGGAGAGGTGATGGATGATGTCAAGAATACAAATGTGTTCTTAATCTAGGCTACAACAGACTTTGACAGCAATGCCTCTGACTATTATTAGGGCTCCAGATTTCCCTCTTTGCTTTTCACCTTTGAATTCAAGAAAATTCACATCTAGGCTTTCCTAATTCATTTTACAAAAGAAATGGAGGACAAAACCTTCATACAAAGGAAAAATATGAAAACCTGAAATCAAGAATCAATGCTGAGTGTTCTTCCTTATCTTTTTTTAGACCCTCAAATACTATAACATTGGCTATTTCACCATTGGTAAAATATTATATTGCAATTGATTCCCCACAGAGAGTTAAAGAGAAAGTATATTTGTTTAGCTCTTCACATTATGCCAGATTTTAGCAAAGCATGTTTGTAAAGGAACATTACATGCAGATATAAACACTATTCTTTTCTCACATTAGATGGGATGCAGGCTCATGGCCTTTCTTAATTGTCAAGGATCCGGCTATATATCTACACAGCACCAGTACAGATGTCAATAGAACGGAGAGATAAATGGCAAAGAATGCATCAAAATATATTTTAAGGATTCCAGTTTCTGTACTTGCATCACATATTGAGAAACAAGATGGAATTTGCATCATGACATATATCATCATTGGGATGCAAACTTGGCTTTCTGTAGATGACTCTTGACTATATTATCCTGCAGCAGTTGATGACAGTGTCAGGAGATGGAATGTACATAATATTCTGAATTTGAAACAGTGCTTTTGATTTCAAGACAGGATGTTCCAACAATTCCAGAAGTGATCTGAATTCAGAACAGCTCTGAATCAAATTCAAAACAGCCAGCTCAGGGTTCAAAAAGGGATACCCAACTCTGTGGTTTCTTCCCCAAACCCCCAAAACTTTAACCTTAGACTGTCTACTATTGACCTCACCGCTTTCCTAAGAGGTCTGTAGGGGGCGTGCATAAGCGCACCAATGTGCCTACTGTCCCTGTCCTATTGTTTCTTTTATTTTTTTAATATGTATCCATGTATTCATAACTATGTTTTTACTTATACCTATTATCTTGTAAGCAATTGACAAACCAAATAAAAATAAAGTATTTAAAGATCAAAAACGCTCAAGCAACCCACTTCAGATTTAAAGCAAATGAACATTCCAAAATGTTCAAGTTCAATATATTTTGAGTACCCATGATCAAGAGGCTTGAAATTAATAAACAATGTGCTGGAATTCCCAATCTATTTTTTCTTTTTCATCTACTTAAGTGAAGCAATTAACCTTCTGCTAGATAAACTTGACTCTTGGTGACTTCAAAGGCACAATGACGTAGCTTTCTCAGCAGTTGAGGTGGATGTGATTTGATATTAACTATCTTCTCTGATGTTCTTTGAACTTCTCAGTTTAGCCCAGTGTTTCTCAACTTTGACTGCCTGAGGTTATTTGGACTTCAATTCCTAGAATTCCCCAACCTGCATGGGGGGTTGGAGGATTCTGGGAGTTGAAGTCCACACATATTCAAGTGTTTAAAGCTGAGAATCACTGGTTTAGCTGATAGCCCTAGAATAGCCCTGGTAGTTTCGCCCACTCCAAATGCTAATCAGTTCTGATTCTGATTAACTTTTCTTGAGGTCAGTTTGGTGCTGCTATCTGAACTGAATGAATTCTAATCCAAGAATAAATAACCAATAGTCACTTGCTAAGCTTATCCTAGAATTCGATTTCATTCCATTCTGGATATATAGTTATGGAGAAATACCAGACTGTCGGGTCCTGAGTGTAAATTCAATACCAGATACTGAATACACACAACACTTAGGAGAGAATTATTTTTATCATTTTCACCACCTTTCCTGGAATATATAGAAATGTTTTAGAAAGGAAGGAAAGGAAAACAATATGTTTTATTTCAATTTCCCAAGTCTCCTTGACAAAGCTGAGACACAAACCTCACAGGTTCAGAGCTCTTAGATCCCACGTCTGAGCCCATGGAACTATAAAAACACAGAAAGTTGTTCTGTAGTGTGTCAGGATATTTGTATGTATTTTCTACAGCATCTCTTCAAGACCGTGGGCAGAAATGTTTCCCATCCCTTAGACCTGGGCCTTTTAGCAAGAAAGGCTTTATTCCCCTGCAAGATTTTTATTGCACACACTGACTAAAAACATGAACAAGATCATTGCTCTAAAGGCTGGAAGCATGCTCTGACCTTTTACTCCATTTATTTACGCAGGAGGTAGAAAGGTATACGTTTCTCAAACTAGTATCTGGATTATTGCAACACATTTAGAGACCCTGGAAAGATTTCATATTCCAATAAAATACTTACCGCCTTTTAAATCAGCCGAGGCCCCCACATACTGGAAATTGTCCATATTAATTACATCAATTATAGGGGATACAACGCGGGTCTTATCCTGAAATACGTTTCAAAACAAAAGTTAATGAACAATAGGCTCTTGCGTTGTTTTGAATATTAAATAAAACCATGATCTTCTTTAGAAGGTTAGCTTTTAAATCCAATGCTATCCACATATACAGTGGCTAGCATTGAACCCACCTACCCTCAAGAAAAAAGAAATTCCACCCTCCTGCTCTAAGAACATGCTGTTTGCTAGAAATTAAGTACAGTAGGCTTTTGCTGAGTTATTTTGCTCACTCAATTCAATTCTCAAGGAAATTAAGCGTTATAAGTTGTACAAGGATAGGTTTGAAAAGGCCTTGGATAGCACAAAGTTATGGTTATTAGCCTCGCTCCCATAGTATCTGCCCCACGGTATCTGCCTGACTGGTTTGTTCTGATTTCTTCAGCATTTACTATCTTTTTGACTTTGTATGCATTTGTTCTTAAGGCTTGGTCTTGTATGGCCAGAATTTGCCCCTCTGTCTTTTTCTTCAACTTTCTTGCCCTTAGCCATTGCTAGGTCTTTATTAATTGTTATGTTTCAGTACCACTTCCTTCATTTAGAATTCAGTCAATACACACTGATTTTTTTTTTTAATGAAAGTGTTGCTTAAAATTAAATGAAAACTACTTCGGGTAGTCCTCAACTTATAAGCAGAATTGAGCCCAAAATTTCTGTGGCTAAGCAAGACAGTTGTTAAGTGAGTTCTGCCCCCCACTTTACGACCTTTCTCACCACATGTTGCTAAGTGGATCACTGCAGTTGCTAAGTTAGTAGCACGGCTGTTAACTGTCTTCCCCACTGACTTTGCTCATCAGGAGGCTACAAAAAGTGATCACATGCAACCACTGCAACCACCACAAACATGAGTCAGTTTTCAAACGCCTGAATTTTGATCACGGAGATGCTGCAATGGTTGTTCATGTGAAAAATGTTCGTAAGTCGCTTTTTTTTTTTTTTAGCGCCGTTGTAACTTCAAATGGTCACTAAATGAATGGTTGTAAGTGATGGACCCCCTGTATTTTTCAACGCAAAAGAGAATCCAGAGGCCAGTTTTAAGAGACCGCTAAGATTATTTCTTGCGACTAACCTCCGCTACTCTCTCCAGGAGAGGCTCCAGCCAGTGCTCGTTGCATTCACAGTGACTATCCAAGAACGTAAGGACTTTTGCTTGTGCTGCATCTGCCCCTCGAACACGAGAACGCATCAAACCTGAAAAATCAAGGGCACATACTTGGCTTGATTGCGTTTTGCAATCAACTGCATTTTTACTATACTGCCTACTATATTTTTCTCCCTCTGACATTAATCTACCTAACAATCTGACAGAAAGACTGGTAAACCAATCAGAAGCTTCCCCATATAAAGTACCTAGGAGGACTTCAATAGAAACAATCTTCAGGCACTTTAACTTAGAGCAGTACAAGGAAGTCATTAGAAAAATCAGATCTCCACTTCGGAACTGTTGATTTAAGAAAGGCTCCCATGAAGATGTTGATTAAGGAAAAAAAAAGTGAGCTGGCAAACATAATTTAAAATAGCTATCAGATGAAATGCCTTGCCTCCATTGTGCAATCTATTTTCTTCTACATTCAATGCGTGCAGAAAGAGAAAATTACTCTTTTAACCAAAGCTTTAATCTTCATATTGTTTCCAGTCCTAACAGGACACTCACCTTCCCGGCGGTCATTTCTAAGTATCTTCACTTTCTCAATTTTACCTAATAAAGCACCATCCTCAGCTAGAAAAAGAAAAGAAAAGCAGTTAATTCTTTATCTTGAACCAAGAAACTGTCACAAAAGAGTCTTCCCTCCTTGGAAAGTTCCTAACTTTCAGAACTAAAGCTAATCTGATTTCCTTCAGATTTCCACTATAAGGCTGTTTTGCAAGTCTGAATGATGACAATTTCATCTTGAAAAAGTAGAAGAGACAGCTACTTAAGGCAGATTATGGCGTTAAAGATGCAAGAAAATAAATGCTCTGGAAACTAAAATCAACCTAGGACCCTAGATAAATGTATGCCCAGTCAACTCAGAGCTCCAGCAGTATGGATTATAAGTCCCATAGTCCTTTGTCAGAACAACATAACATCTCATGTATTGCACTAAATAACAGCCTTGTAAAAGTACTTACAATCATTGCTGTAGTCATCTACTAATATAATTTCCTTAATAAGATGTGGTGGGCTTTTTTTGAGAACACTAAAAAGAAAAGAAATTGGATAAGAATAATCATCTAGTTCAATCCACTGAGAAAAACTATGTATTGTCACTTTGTGGTAGCCCTTTGCGGTTTAAGAAAGTGTTGCAGAAATACCTGACGACAGTTCGAAGGAGAGCTGATCGGGCCTCATTGTGAAAAGTGATGATTACACTAGTGGCTGGTAAGTCTACCCGCCATTGTTTGCGTTGACACCTTAAAAGGAAGGACAAAAAGGTTTCAAATGGTAGTGCCACTGACGTGGAGATTCTCATTAAAAGCTGACCTCAGATGTATCTGTGTTAGATCGTCTAAGGAAGGAGCAAGAGCAGAAAGATTGAAAGAAAGAACAACTGGCATTCCCTAGGCCAGGGTTTCTCAATCTTGGCAGCTTCAAGATATGTGGATTTCCACTCTCCTGGGGAATTCTAGGAGTTGATTCCACACACAGTATCTTAAAACTTCCAAGGTTAAGAAACACTACCCAAAGCTGTGGTTCCATGTGCCCAAATGAGCCCAGAAGACTGCTTAATATATAGTTGGAAGACTGTAGGAAATGTTACAAGCTCATCACTAAGATGAGGGGTCCCCAACTCCCGGTCTGTACATCAGCACCGGTCCATGGCATGCCAGAAACCAGGCCACACAAACAAGCAAGGCCCCATCTGTGGGATTCAGGCAGCATGCAAAACCACACATAACCTCCGGTCTGCGGAAAAACCTCTCTCCACAGAACCGGTTCCTGGTGCCCAAAAGGTTGGGGAGACTGCTGATCTAGACAATCTTGCAAGTCTGAGCCATATTCATGGCTGTCCCAAAGGCACTTTTCAAAAGGCAACTGGGCTTTCAGGTTTTTTTCCTTGAAAATGTTTTGCTTCTCATCCAAGAAGCTTCTTCAGGTTAGCAATCATCTAATGATCAAATCTAATGGGGAATGGAAGAATTTATATTCCTTAGCAGTCATCTAATGAATCTCCATAAACATTTATTCATGGGACAGTTACTACTGAATGTATTTATCAATCATGTATTCTTGTGTTTCTGATCTTTATAAGACATTAGCTTGGTCCCAATCTTTCAGTTTATAAAACAGAAGACTTATTGTTCTTTCCAAAAATATAAAAGCACATTCATTTGCTATATTTTTAAATTTAAATGTGCTTTTAGAATACCTGAAGGAGAAAGTCTCATTTTCTGCAATGTCTCAGAGCTTAATAAATGTAGGCATTTCTAAGAATGCTTTCTTCTACGATTGCTTATTGAGAATAAACCTGAATTACTGCTGAAATATGCTGCATCATGTTTTTTTCACTTACAATCCATGCTATACTAAGTTTTATCAATCCTGGGGGAGGAGGCCCGGTATGACGGCAAGACATACATTTTCAAGGTTTCACAAAATATTCAGTCTATACAGGGTCTAAAACATTATGCATCTGCTATCCTGTTTCCTTAAGAGGTAGACAACTTACAAGATATAACAATGAAAAAACATGTAGCTCAACAAAATTATACCATTAAAAATATAAAGGATTCACATAAAGCTAATCAAAATGAATTAGTTTAGCAGTCTAAGAGGAATGTAGGCTAAGTAAATCAAAGGCCAAATGTTTATAAATGACTTGGCTCATAAAATGTTAAGCTGCCTAAAAGTTTCATAGACAAAAGGACTGATGATCTGGTTGTCCAGCTTGTCATCTCAGTGACAAGCTTGTAACATTTATACTGCAGCAATCTTCAATCCAAATATTAAGCAGCCTTTTGGGTTCATCTATTGTTCATTCCCAAAATTCCAGAATTAATTAAAGCAGGTGAATATTTCCCATGCCACTGGACCCTTCCTTAATAATAATTGAAGCAATTTTCAAATGTTTTTGTTAACTGCATAACAAGCTCATAACTTGGCATCAATGTGTGCATCTGATGAATTCTAATTCTAGTCTGAATACTGAAGACCAAATTTAGAATAGAAGGATGCTACATTTTTTTCCTGTTCCCAGTATTTTTTTAAGCAAGATGATTATTTCTTTATCAAAGCAAAACAATTAAACATAAATCTTAAAAAAATCAAGATCACAAGACGAAATGCATCAGAATATTCCATGTGATAAAACTAATGTGCAGGTTCCCTGTTGCTAGGGGATCTTCAGGCCTGTGGAAAAAAGACATGCTTGGAGGGCTTTCCAGAATCACAGACAGTGAGAAGTAAAAAGGAGCCAAGAAATAAAGAATATGTATCTTGATTTTGCCTCATATGTGAGGCAGTTATTCTGCATGTTTATTTGAATAAATATTAATATGCCAATTTCATTTCTAATAGATGTTTATAAAGCATTAAGTAAAACAAAACATCCAAAGAGTTTGAAAACTGATTTAACAGTGACATTAAAATCAGTAAGGTGGAATTAAATCTTCAGTCGTGCACATAACAGTATCCCAGTTAGGCAAGATTTAGAAGCCATAATAATGCCAAGCAGGGAAATAATTGAGATGCCAGTGCTGACACAGTATCAAGGACGTTGCCTTTCTAGCATATTCCAAATCAAGCAGGTCTTGTACAGACTATATAATTTCTTAAATTGCTTTGTATTCTTTTAGAATTGCCATTCAGTGCTTTGCATTGCTGCAACTTAGCAGAGAATGTTATGACAGAAATATAAATAGGATCAAATAATCTGAGCTAACCACTACTGAACTCTTGAGAGCTGCAGCTGAGCAATTTGCTTAATATTCATGTTCTACTTCGGGTACTTTTCAACTTGGGCACTATTCATTACAAGAAAACAATTTCTAAGATATGTGGTACTTACTGATCATGCCTTGTGTCCTGAACATTTCTGTCCATTCGTAATTTATCACTCTCCACTTGATTAAACTTATTGCGGGCATATGGGTCTTGACCAGCTTTGACCATAGTGACTCCAACATAAGCATCCTGGTCAAAGTCTTGCCACCTAACTTTTCCTAAGAAGAAAAACTGGTATTAACGGGAGACCTAAGACAAATTGTGGCTTTGGTAAAACACTTTTCAGCATATAGACAAACATAGCCAAGTTCTCAAGGACTAGCAGCAGATGACATCTCTCTTCCAAGCCCACTCAAACATTAGTGTACCTCCTACACTTGTAACATTGCTGTCACTTTTTAAATTCTGGATGGCATCTCTACTCTGGTCTGCTTTTTGCTTTGAAAGAAAACAGAAACTGAACAGCTGATGTATGGTTTTAGCTTTTGGTACTTCTGCTTGTGAAAAATGAACAGGGTCATAACTGCATTCTTCATCAAATGCATTACTGAGTACACCGTGATTCCGTTTTATCTACTCTTGCTGGGGTAGGAAATGTTTTAGCAGCAGCATCTAAATCAATCTGTCTTCAACTTAGCTATTAGCAATGCAGAAGTTCCCTGCTCTACAACATTGTTTGAAATATTAAAATTATTTCAATGCCAGCACACAATACAGAGAACATTAAATGTTTTCAAAGAACAGCTTCTGAAGGCAATAGGATGCATATGTTAGGATCATTTTTGCCTTTTTTTACTTGTAGAATGCTTTCTTCTCGGATCAGCCTCTAAATTTTATTTTATATAAGCTATTTATATCCCAACTAAGAAACCCTTGAATAATCTTACAAATACCTGCAAGGATCTTTCCACTCAATCTCATGGTACTGTAATAAGAAAATGGATATTTGATTCCCAGATTATTAGAAAAGCTGTGACAAGCCTGCATTCAGCCATGTCTTCCTGCTAGCTGGACAAATGTCAAGTCTTCCACACAGAAGCCCAAACAAATACTTTGTGTTGACTTGTACTATCTTTGCTGATAAGGAGTGTTAGTTTAGATTCCCCAAAGGAAAAACTGCTGGTAGGAAATAAGGGGAGCCGTGGGTTGAACTGGCATCAAATGAAAGACTTGAAACATTAAAATATAACTGTCTTCCCATTCACTTCATGTATTTGTTTTGTGATTGCATTCATATTATTCTCTGTATATCAGAGGTCCTTAATCCCTGGGCCGCAGCCCATTAATGGGCCTTGAGGTATTCGGAACCAGGCCATGGAAATGGTGGGCGAGCACGAGAGCACGCATCCCCACTTGCATGAGCAGTGGACGAGCATGTGTGCTCCATTTGTGCAAGGAGTAGGCACCGCTCATGCAAATGGAGCTGCACATGTATGCCCGCCGTTTGCATGGACCCAACCCCTCCCCCCCCCGCCTGTGTGCAAAGCCAGAAAAGTTGGGGAATTCTGCTGCATATGATAAAATCATTTCAACTTATTCCTCACTACTGGTCATTCATTTTTATATTCAATCCATACTTCTGAGATATTCTTTTATCCTGATCCTCTTGTTTTACTGCACATGCTTTAATAACCCATGCCCACATTTTTTTTATTTAGTTTTATGTTTTTCCTTACATGTTCAACTCTTCATTTGGGTGACTAAGTTGGCTGGCTCACCCAAGCTTTATAGAAGACTACCAGAATGTAAACTAAGTCTAACACACGGTACTGCTTGTGGTTTTTATTATTTATTGTGTGCACATTTTAGAATCTCTGCATAATATCTATACAAAATCCATATTGGTAGAGCTTATCAAAACTATTCCAAAGCTGCCCCAAAGCCACTTCACTTGCGATAAATTTCATTTTTCACAGATTGGTCCCAACAGTGATTACAATTCTATTCCACAGAAAGCTGGCGTGTGAAGTTTTTTACTATTATGATTTGCTTACTTTAAAAGATGAAAGGAAGCACAGTCCATTTGATGTTTTGGTACCTTTGACTCTTCAGAAACATTCCCATTTCAGATCTTTCCTTTTTTTTTTAATCAGTCAGGAAGATTAGAGGTTTTCAATAAGAAGACAGTAAGGTTCCCAGAATCCTAATTGTTGTGGCACAATGATTCAGATGGATTGTTTTAAAATCTTTTCAGTGGGTTAATAGTTCTCCTTTTAACAGTACAGTCCTATAAGGTCTACTGAAAAATAAGCCCCACTGAATATAGTCAGTTTTAAGCTAAAGCTAACTATGCCTTCAAAAGTTCTTACATTTTATCCTTGGAAGTCAAATATATGAATACATAAAACAGAATTCTTAAATGTATTTCTCACCCATCACTGTCTACTTCAGTCAAAATAAGTTTTCGATCTTTTCTTTAGCTTAGTTATATTTACTTCTGTGTGATACTTTAAAAGTAACAATTGACTACTTCAGTACCTGGAGGCAGGGTCTCCATGTTTTGTGACTTTTCATCCCCATTGCTGTGTTGATCTTTCTTTTTTAATATGTTGATATTATTTGGATCCTCCTAGGGAGAATGATATAAACACAGATTAATCATTAAAACAGCACTTCAAAAAAATGTTCCACAAAAATAGAAATGGCTATTTTTACTTTTTTGGAACCAAGGTGTCTTTAACATCAATTAAAATGACAATACCAGCAAGAATCATCACTGAGCAATGGTACGGAGTACACAATACACAAAATCTAAAGAGCTTGACACATACCATTTCAAGTTCAAAGCAGCTGTTCGGACCACTTTTGAAACAAACTATTTTTTCACATCTCTATTCATTCATCTCAGGCATTTTTCAAGTTTTTGCTCTATAGCATATAATGGCATCAGTTGCAGTCCTCTAACAAATCAGTTCCCTTTATCATTAAGTTGGTCCTCAATTAACAACCACTTGTTCAGTGACTATTCAAACTTACAGGTGAAACTGGAAAAATTAGAATATCGTGCAAAAGTTCATTTATTTCAGTAATGCAACTTAAAAGGTGAAACCAATATATGAGATAGACTCATTACATGCAAAGCAAGGTAGTTCAAGCCGTGATTTGTCATAATTGTGATGATTATGGCTTACAGCTCATGAAAACCCCAAATCCACAATCTCAGAAAATTAGAATATTACATGCAATCAATAAAACAAGGATTGTACATAGAACAATATCGGACCTCTGAAAAGTATAAGCATGCATATGTACTCAGTACTTGGTTTGGGCCCCTTTTGCAGCAATTACTGCCTCAATGCAGCCTGGCATGGAAGCTATCAGCCTGTAGTACTGCTGAGGTGTTATGGAAGACCAGGATGCTTCAATAGCGGCCTTCAGCTCTTCTGCATTGTTCAGTCTCATGTCTCTCATCTTTCTCTTGGCAATGCCCCATAGATTCTCTATGAGGTTCAGGTCAGGAGAGTTTGCTGGCCAATCAAGCACAGAAATCCCATGGTCATTGAACCAGGTTTTGGTGCTTTTGGCAGTGTGGGCAGGTGCCAAGTCCTGCTGGAAAATAAAGTCAGCATCCCCATAAAGCTCGTCTGCAGAAGGATGCATGAAGTGCTCCAAAATCTCCTGGTAGATGGCTGCGTTGACCCTGGACTTAATGAAGCACAGTGGACCAACACCAGCAGATGACATGGCTCCCCAAATCAACATAGACTGTGGAAATTTCACACTGGACTTCAAGCATCTTGCAGTGTGTGCCTCTTCCTCCAGACTTTGGGTCCTTGGTTTCCAAATGAGATGCAAAAGTTGCTCTCATCAGAAAAGGGGACTTCGGACCACGGAGCAACCACAGACCAGTTCTGTTTTTCTTTAGCCCAGGTAAGATGCTTCTGACATTGTTGTTCAGGAGCAGCTTGACGAGAGGAATATGACATTTGAAGCCCATGTCCAGGATCCGTCTGTGTGTGGTAGCTCTTGATGCACTGACTCCAGCCTCAGTCCACTCCTTGTGAAAGTCCCCAACACTTTTGAATGGCCTTTTCCTGACAATCCTCTCCAGGCTGCGGTCATCCCTGCTGCTTATGCACCTTTTTCTTCCACACTTTTCCCTTCCACATAACTTTCTATTAATGTGCTTTGATACAGCACTCTGGGAACATCCAACTTCTTTTGCAATTGCCTTTTGAGGCTTTCCCTCCTTATGGAAGGTGTCAGTGATGGTTTTCTGCACAACTGTCAGGTCAGTAGTCTTTCCCATGATTGTGATTCCTACTGAACCAGGCCATTTAAAGGCTCAGGAACCCTTTGCAGGTGTTATGGCTTAATTAGTTGATTAGAGTGGGACACTTTGAGCCTAGACTATTGAACTTTTCACAATATTCTAATTTTCTGAGATTGTGGATTTGGGGTTTTCATGAGCTGTAAGCCACAATCATCTCAGTTACAACACATCACGGCTTGAACTATCTTGCTTTGCATGTAATGAGTCTATCTCATATATTAGTTTCACCTTTTAAGTTGCATTACTGAAATAAATGAACTTTTTGCACGATATTCTAATTTTTCAAGTTTCACCTGTATAATGCTGAACAAATGGCACTTGTGAACAGTCTCCATCTTCTGGCTGTTGTAGCTCCCCACACCTCATGGTCACATGATCGCGATCCAGGTGCTCAGCTACTGCCTCACATTTACAACTTTGAAGTGCCCTGCAGTCATGTGCGCAGTCATTTTCAACTTTCACTGCCAGCTTCTGACAAGCCAAGTCAATGGAGAAGCCAGCGGAAGGTTGAGGGCAACTATGTGATGTCTCATTTTTTTGCTCTGGATATGCTTCAAGACAGAAATTGGAAGTGCTGGAATTGCCCTGGCTAAGCAACATGTTCATGTTACATTGTTTTATGGCCGTGTCACTTAGCAAAAGAAATGCTGATCCCAATTATTGTTGTTAACCAAGGACTACCCATGTTAGGAAACTATACAATTAATTTCATTGCCCCCACTTCATTAATTATCCCAGTCAGAAATACCTATTTACATACAATGGAATGAAAATAATTCAATTTATTCACTACAATGGGGTTGAAAAAACTAGCCTGCCAATAAAAAGTGGAAGGAAGTAGAAAAAGTGGAAGGCAACCAATAAAGTGGATGAATAAAATCAAAGAAATCACCAGAGCGTTAGAATTAGATTATCATTAAGATTATCAGAGACCGATAAAAAAGGGAGATGGGACACATTTGTTCATACAATCACCAAGATCAGATCCTACCTAATCACAAAACTTAACTGCTACAAAAATCACCATATAGCTAGAACAAATGGTTTTTCCTGCCTTGTCAAATTTCAGGTTTTAGAATGCTTTTTATGATGTTCAACTTCAGTTAAAAATACTTTTTAATTTTTCTGAACCCGTATTTGTTATTCTATATTAGAAAATTCCCTAAGTAATACATAAGATTCAGACAATTCTAAGAAGCAGGACTTGTAAAGGGCTTGTTTTCTATGTCACTGCACTTTAATTTGCAACCATGGGATTAGGCAACAAGATTTAAAATATCTTGCCGTTTTGTCCCAAGCAATTAATTCTCAGCACTAGTATTGCAATGAATTCTCAGCACAAGTATTTATGGGGAAGTCACAAGACTACTAGATATGCACAATGAGTAGAGTACTTTGAAATACACAGAACAGAAAAAGAAGCCTTTTCAGACCAAGGGTATTAGGAATTGGCCAGATAATTGTGACATAGCTTGCAACAGGGTTAGACTTATATACCACTTCACAGTGCTTTACAGCCTTCTCTAAGCCCTTTACACAGTCAGCATATTGCCCCCAACAATCTCAGAAGGATTGAAGGCTGAGTCAACCTTGAGCTAGTGAGGATCGAACTCCTGGCAGTGAGCAAAGTTACCTTACAATACCGCATTGTAATTACTGTGTCACGGTACTGCACGGTTCTGGTGCAACTGGTGAATCTAACCTTTTTACAAGTAAAACGTTTTTCAAAAATTAATTATTGAGGAATAATTGAACTCCTAAGGACAACTTTAGTCCATATGCTTGGATATCTGCTGTGCACATCCTGCTGAGTTGACAGAACCATGGTCTGACATCATTGTTGGGAAAGACTTCAAACCTATAGGTGTTGAGAAAGTAGACAGGATTCCTGGAATCTGTTTTCTTAAGTTTTCGCGGGTACTTGTATGGTATTCAGCTTTGTTCAGGTATTTTCCCACGTCATTATAGTTGTGCTTTTAAAGTTGTAGCAATGTTTCGGCAGAATCTCATCTGCCATCATCAGGCTTCTGTATTGTATTCGTCTGTTCCTGGGATGTGTATACAACTACCTTTTCATTAGATCCATGTCTCTCCTAATTGGTCAAGAGAATCTGGTAAGTGAGGTATGGACAGGGTCCATAGCAGATTGATCCTTGAATAAAGGGTTCCATCTGATCTTAAATACATTGATCATATCTAATTATATATCACAGTCCCTGGCTGCCTGAGTGATGCCATCAAGATTATGACTTGATGTCTAGAGACTGAGGGAGTCTATGGAAGAACAGAATAAGGCTCAACCCTAGCAAAACTAGGTAGCTGTGAATTTTGAAGCTTCCTAGACCTCTAATTCTGAATAGTATTGAGAATTACACCTTCAGGAAAAAATCTAATGCAAAATCTGAGGGTGTTCCTAGAGTCATGATTTCTGCCTGATGAGATGATTTCAACCATGGCTCAGGCATTGTGTGCCAGTTGTTCCCATTCCTAGATCAGGAGGTACCATTCATGGTCACTTATGCCTGGGTCTTCTTGTGTGTGGATTACTGCAATGTGATCTACAAAGGACTGCACTTGAAGATCTCTCAGGAGCTCCAACTGATCCAGAATGCAGTGGCACAGGCACAACTCAGTAGAGCCGTGTAATACTGCTAATTTGCAAGCTCAAATGGTTGCTTTCTAGGTGCAATTCAAGGTGCTGTTTATCATAGTAAAGACCTTCATGGCATATTATTTGAAGAGTTTACTACCCATCCATTAAGACCCAATAAGAATGCATGCTCTGGGTCCCATTTTTTAAGCAATGTCATCTTATGGCACCTAAGAGAATGGCTTTTTGATGCATAGTCGGTATTACATATATATACCAGCTCTATGCATTAGGATTCCTTCTGAGAGGCAGATATACCTGATCCTTCCTGTCTTCTCCATGGCTTTGATAAAACTAGAGTCCTTCCAGGCATTAAGTGCCAGGGGTTCATATTGTTTGAATTGTTTCCGGTGTAATTTATTTTTTATATGATAGTTTATGGTTTTACTGTATTTATTGTTATTTAAACTTTACACTAGGCTGAGTTGTTCGCCAGGAGGATGGCTATAACTTTGTAAACAAACTGTTGTAAGTCAAGGATTACCCGTACAATATAAGGGAAGTCAACACAATTGAATTGAGGTCACCCAAGATTTTACCCAAATAAAGAAAAGTTGAAAGATTTTTCTTATGTTGGTGAGCTTGCATTACACTGAAATTCATTCAGCAAGTGTGTAATGCTGCTGATTCAAAATTATCCGTACTG